ACACACACACACACACACACACACACACACCAGAGGTGGTATTCAGCAGGTTCTGTAGAACCTGTAGTGGAAATTTGAGTACTTCGGAGAACTGGTAAATACCACCTCTGACTGGCCCTGCCCCCATCTATTCTCTGCCTCCCGAGTCCCAGCTGATCGGGAGGAAATGGGGATTTTGCAGTAACCTTCCCCTGGAGTGGGGAAGGAATGGAGATTTTACAGTATCCTTCCCCTGTCAAACCCACCAAGCCACGCCCACAGCCATGCCATGCTCACTAAGCCACACCTATAGAACCGATAGTAAAAAAATTTGAATCCCACCACTGAGTGCAACAGTCATAATTACATGCCAGTTGCCAAGCACCAAATTTTGGTCACGGGATGCTTGAAAGGTTGTGTGAAAACTGGTCAGAAGTCATTTTTTTCAGCCATTATAACTTTGAACGGTCACTAAATGAATGGTTATAAGTCAAAGACTCTTTCTCAGCCAGACTTGGGATGGCACATTCTTAAGAATCGGCTTTCTGGGCCCATTGTTGTTGCCTCTCTCCACCTTGCTGGATAAACTTGTGAGAATGCTGCTGACACTCACAATTGGGCTCAGGAAATTATGACTGCAAGTTCCAATGGTTCCTGAAAAACAGGCTTGACTGCTGTTGGAAAGTGGATTCAGTTTCTTGTCTGCCCCGAATTTTGTAATCTGGTCATTCTTTGATTTTAAAGTAGAGCCCCAGGAAATGATATTGAATTCCCTCTGGAATGAGAAACATGCATGCCCATTCCAGACCTTAGACTTTAGGGAAACTAGGGTGCCTGATTGACTTTTAAGAATTGCTCCTTTCTCTTTTGTGATATTGTATTTTTCATTTGAGGGATGCAGTGGCTCAGTGGCTTAAGACGCTGAGCTTGTTGATCAGAAGGTCGGCAGTTCTGGGGTTCAAATCCCTAGTGCCGGTGTAACAGAATGAGCATGTAAAGTTTAAAAGCAAGTAAAAATGCAAGTAGAAAAATATGAACTACCTTTGGGGGTGTTGAAAGAAATGTCCTTCTGGGTTCGGCTCCAAGTAGGGAAAAAGACACTGGAGACATGGAGGCTGCTTCAAAAGATGGTTTATTGGTGGACAGAACAGTGGGAAAGTAACAGCATTCCGTGCTTAGTCATGCTGGCCACATGACCATGGAGACATTTTCGGACAGCGCTGGCTCTTCGGCTTTGAAACAGAGATGAGCACCGCCCCCTAGAGTCAGGAACAACTAGCACATGTGTGCGAGGAGAACTTTTATCTTTACCTAGTTATTCATTTATTTTCCGTCTTTTATTCAATAAGTATACTACTTGTAATGTAATACTACTACCTTCTGGCCTTCTTCCATATATATATGGGATTAATTTTGTGATGGCTAGCCCAGATAACCCAGATAACCCAGTTAATGTCACCCAGTATTAATAGCCACATTATTGCATTTCACTGCATTTGCCATTGTGGTTTTTCCCCCTCTGACTTAATTATTAGCAGCACATTTCAATAAAGAGACCAATTTGTGCTCTCAATTCTGCAACTTTAACATGCAAAATTAAAGGCAATAGAGTCCTTTAAAGGTTTAATAAAGGGCTGCCATATCTTTAATAAAATCTTCTCTTCAACAATTCAGCCTCTTGTGTTTCTTCCAATGAGGCTGAGAAGTGGATAGGCTCAGGTCTCTGATTCCCTCCCTTTTCTCCCTACATTTTACTAAATGTATTTTTTTCCTAAAAGAATACAGATGCTCTTAATACTTCTACAAAGTTAATATAATTATATTAAGTTGAAAATGGATTCATTATAATAGTCCTAGGGGAACAGAAAGAATAAAATTTAATCTACTGTTTAGAAGGAAATGATGTTGACAGAGAAGGAGTTCTTCAACAAATGAGATGTGAAACATGAAAATAAGCATTGCAAAAGAACTTTGGCCTTCAAGATGACTTCACAGCATGTTAATTGTTGGGTACCTAAGATTGAACTCTCAACCTTCGGAGTGGGAGGTGAGGGTATTCATCTCTAGGCCACCACGCTGCTCATTTTAAAAAAATGCTAATAATGAAGACTAAAATAACAATATCAAATGCTGTTTTGAACCTCTGGGATTTAATATGACCTTCTCCTTCCTCCAGGGTGGTTTTTGGACCAGAACTCGTGCTACTGGGTCCAGATGAGCAATTCACAGTCCTGAGTCTCTCTGGGGGCCGGCCCAAGCGCCCCCACACGCGGCGTTCTCTGTGCCTCCTCCTGGGGCCAGATTTCTGCACTGACATTATCACTATTGAAACAGCTGATCATGCCCGTCTCCAACTCCAGCTGGCCTATAACTGGTGAGTGAAGGGTAACTGGATGGATTGAAAGTTGGCCAGGTCTTGATTAGAACGAGATCCTTTACCTGTGTTTTGGTCTTTATAAAGATTATAAAGAATCAATTAAGGAGAAACTTCCTAACAGTGAGGACAATTAACCAGTGGAACAGCTTGCCTTCAGAAATTATGAGCACTCCATCACTGGAGGTTTTTAAGAAGAGACTAGACAGACACTTATCTGAAATGGTAGGCTCTTCTGCTTGAGCAGAGCGCTGGACTAGACCTCCAAGATCCCTTCCAGCTCTATTCTATTATAGTCCAAATCCCTGCCTAAAGCAGGAGTCCTCATACTATCTCAGATAAATGGTTGTCCACTCTTTTCTCAAAAGTATCCAGAAATGGGTAACCCTGAACTCTGGGAGGCAGGCATGATAGTTCTACTGTCAGAAAATTCTATGGGATTTCCAGAACTTTGCATGGTTTGGTGTTTCTTCAGTATTTTTACCATTGTATTTTGCAAGCCGGCAAGAGTCATAGCAGATTGGGGTAGCTGATACAATTCCATAAATATATAGATCAACAAAATAATAGACGGCAACAGTACAGTATTAATTTTATTTAGGTTTCCTTCTATCTATGTTTCGCTCACCATTTGTTGAACTGTTTTTGCATAATATTCCTTATCTTGAAATGGAAGAAAGTGATAATTATATGTGGTTTTATACTTTGCAATTTTTAAAAAAATTAAACTTTAAACTTGGTATGTTGCCCTTCAAAACCAAGTGTTAAAAATATTGTTTCTCTTCCTTGAGAAGTGATTAAGTTATCAAACTATTCTACCAAGGGAATATAAAGATGGTTTCTCTCATCTACCAATATCTATACAACATTTATAAACCTTGGATGACTTTAAAAATACACCTTTGGGTTAGAAGCATATTTTTCAATAGGAAAGGATGAGGCCATCTAGTTAAATTATCCTTAATATATTTCAGCTACCGGTAGATCTTAAAGCTCCTTCCATTTTTAAATGTGATCTAATCCTCATTATGCCAATGCCATATGGTACATCTGCTTTATCAAATATATTTAATTGCCTTAATTCTCCAGTCTTATTTTCTTAATGAACTATTTAAATTTCTGCTTTGAAAATATTTAAATATTGTTTGAGTTGTTGCATGACACTAAGTGATGTTTGATTTTAACTGGCTTGTAAATCCCAAAGGTGCTTTTTTCCCCAAAAGGCAACTGGACTTTCTTTGTTTTTCCTTCAAGACGTTTCACTTCTCATCCAAGAGTCTTCACTGAAGAAGCTTCTTGGCTCTGAAGCGAAACATCTTCAAGGAAAAACAAAAGACAGTCCAGTTGCCTCTTGGGGAAAAAAGCACCTTTGGGGCAACCATGACCTGGATGACTGAGAATCTCCTTCGACGTGTGGTTTCTCAATCTTCTCAGGTTTCCTTTGTAACATGGATCTGTTTTCCCATTAGGCACTTTGAGATTCCTTCAGCGGCTGAAGCAACCCGCCTTTTCTCAGTCCCAGATTTTATAGGTGATGCCTGTAAGACGTTGGCCTCACGCATTCGGGGAGCTGTGGCTGCTGTCACCTTTGATGATTTCCATAAGGTGAGCTTAACTTTAGCTTCTCCTCCATGACTCTGGTCCCACCAGAAACTCTGCCATTTAGCCCTCAACATTCTGAGGATTTGGTGACCTCTCTTATGTGTAAATCCCTATTTACTTTTAAACTTGGTATACTGCCCTTCAAAACCAACTATTAAAAATACAGCTTCCCGTCCCTGAGGTTTTGTTTATCCATGAACACAGATTGGAAAAAGTGAGATGTGTGACTAAGGATCAGTGGTGGGATTCCAAATATTTTCCTACCGGTTCTATGAGAGAGCATTTATGCGCGCAGCACACAAAGACCACCCTTGGTGTCAGTGCTGGTGAACTGAGCTGAGCCCAGCTGAGGCATTGCAATCCACTCTGCTGCTCTCTTAGCTTGGTTGTTTTCTTGGAGAGAAAGGACTTTCCAGATGGGAATGGTGTGACCTGCGCGCTGGAGGAAAAATGTACTGTATTTTTCAGAATATAAGATGCACTTTAGTTTTTGAGGAGGAAAATAGGGTGGGGGGGGATTCTGCCTACCAGGTATTCATCTGGCTAGTTTCCTTAGTCTGGTCAGCTTCAGAATATAGGTTTGCTAGATTTGAGCATGCACATGCGTGCTTTTTATTCCATGGTTGGGGATTAAAAACAGTTCAAAAGCACAGCTGATCGTTGGAGAGAGAAGCAATGAGAAAAGCAGGAAAAGCACGGAAGATCGCTTCACTTGTTAGCACCTCATTAGGGCTCAAAAACAGCTTTGAAAACACTACATTTGGCGTACAAGACACACCCAAATTTTCAGCCTTTTTTAGGGGGTAAAAGTGTGTCTTATACTCTGAAAAATACGGTACTTTAGGTCAGTGTTTCTCAACCTCAGCCACTTTAAGATGAGTGGACTTCAACTCCCAGAATTCCCCAGCCAGTATGCTGTCTGGGAAATTCTGGGAGTTGAAGTCCACTCATCTTAAATATTGCCAAGGTTGAAAAATGCTGCTTTAAGTGACCTTGAGGGAAGTCACTGTGAGGTGAAGTGAAGACAGACTTTTTGAGGGGGTTAATATTTAATATTTCTGTTTGTGAATTTTCTTACTTAAATTGATGTTCCTAGAACTCAAATCGTCTGATCTGTGCTGCCGTCTTTGGGTTTGATGGAGAAGGGACCCTGCGTCACTCCTTGCGCTTCGCCCCAAATGGCCTAGTCATCAGCAGCGTTGACATTCAAAGTGTGGAGCCGGTGGACCAACGGACACGGGACGCTCTTCAGCGCAGTGTGCAGCTCGCCATTGAGATCACCACCAACTCTCAGGAAGCTGCTGCTCGGTATGGAGCATTTGGGGTGGGAAGCAACCAGGTTCCCTCTATTCGCTTCTTATTATTAACAATATGTGTAACTTGCCCCAGAATCTCTGGGGAATTTAAATTTGTTTATTTAATTTTTATTCCACTTTTATTACTTGATCAGTAACTCAAGGCGGTGAACATACCTAACATTCCTTCCACCTATTTTCCCCACAACAACAACACTCAGAGGTGAGTTGGGCTGAGAGAGAGTGACCAGTCCAGAGCCACCCAGCTGACTTAATGACTAGAACTCACAGTCTCCTGATGATTAAGGCTGAGTACTAAAAATGATGGGTACCAAAACAATTTTTTCCCATAAGGAATAATAAGGAACAAGGCAGCCACATTGACACGTTCTAGCTTATATATTGAGTACCAAACAACAGTGAATACCGGGACAAAATTTTTATATCAAAATGGGTTGAGTACCAAATTCAATGAGTTTCAAAGCAGTTTAAGTACCAAGGTGTTCTTCTCCAGCTTCTTGTTTTCTCAAAAACAAACAAAAATGGAAACAGCCTGTTCTTTCCTTCCTGACAAAGTCTCTTCTAATTTATATCTGGAGAATTTTTCCCGGAATAAAGAGATGCATCTTACGTAAACTTGTTTCCCTTTGTGGTGTTCATTTCCTCTGATCCCATTCTCCCTCCCTCCCTCCCTCTCCCTCTCTCCTTCTCCCTCTCCCTCTCCAGCCATGAGGCAGAGAGGTTGGAACAAGAGGCTCGAAGTCGTCTTGAACGGCAGAAAATCCTTGATCAGGCTGAGGCAGAACGAGCCCGGAAGGAGCTCTTAGAGCTGGAAGCACTGAGGTGAGTGTGTAGGATCCATGTTGTTTTAAGGCCCAACTATGGACATTTATAGTGACACAGTGGCTCAGTGACTAAGACGCTGACCTTGTCGATCAGAAGTTTGGCAATTCAGTGGTTCAAATCCCTAGCGCCACTTAACGGAGTGAGCTCCCGCTACTTGTCTCAGATTCTGCCAACCTAAAAGTTCGAAAGCACATAAAAATGCAAGTAGAAAAATAAGGACCACCTTTGGTGGGATGGTAACAGCGTTCCATGAACCTATGGCATTTAGTCATGCTGGCCATATAACTACGGAGATGTCTTTGGACAGCACTGGCTCTTCAGCTTAGAAACGGAGATGAGCACCACCCCCTAGAGTCGGAAACGCCAAGCACATATGTGTGTGGGAACTGTTACCTCATGGACATTTGTTCCAAACTTAGTTTTTTCCTACTATCTGAGGTCCCAGGCAGCTCTACCTAAGAATTGTGAGAGCTGGACTCCTCATTAAATCTGGAGGTTGCAAGTTTGGGGAAGCTGATCTAGTTTTTGATTGCATATTGAGATAGTATTTCTAAAAGGCACTCTGCTTCCCCTTTCCCATTTTCCCAGCACGGCTGTGGAGAGCACAGGAGCTGCCAAGGCAGAGGCCCAGTCCCGAGCAGAGGCAGCCCGAATTGAAGGAGAAGGAGCAGTTCTGCAGGCCAAGCTGAAGGCTCAAGCTACTGCCATAGAGACAGTAAGTCCTGCCAGTCCTCCCACAAACCTTTTTAGGCGAACTAGCTTCTTGATGGCGGCTGTGAATGCTAATCTGCCCTCCAGTGCTGAGCATCATGAGCTAGAAGAAAACATAGTATCTGAAAAATAGAGTAACTGATTTTGCATCTTTCCAACCTATTCTAAGCATTCCCCATCCCTTTTTTTTTCTTGTTTAGTACTTAGTCCCAAGCTAGCGGTTCAGTTAAGTAGAGCATACATGGACAGAATAGGGCACCCGTATCAAGACTGCACTCTTGAAATTCACTGGATTAGGGTTGGAAACGGGAATATTGTTTGATTATTTTCCTTAAAAAAAAGATGAAGATAGGAGCAGAAGACCTCTTGTTACCAATTTTCATCCATAAATGGCTTGAAAGTTCAATTTTTGGGCCTTTTCAATATTGGTGAAGAAGTAGACTTTTTTTGCCAATCATTCCTGCCTGTCCTTCTTAACCATCCCTCCTTCTTGTACGAAAACTACAGTGTTTCCCCGAAAATAAGACAGGGTCTTATTTTCTTTTGACCTCCAAAATAAGCGCTTGGCCTTATTTTCAGGGAGGTCTTATTATTTTTGAGGTGCAGGAGGTGGTGAGCGTGGTCTCCTCACGGCTGCTGCTGTGTTGCAATATTTTCAGGGAGGGCTTATATTCAGGGAAGGGCTTATTTTAACACATGCGCTCAAAAGCTTGATTGGGCTTATTATTTGGGGAGGCCTTATTTTGGGGAAAACAGGGTACCTAAAAGTGGCCTAGAAAAAAAAAGATACCAATTTCAGGTCAGTTTAACTTCCAGAATCTCCCCACTCATCAAAAGTCCAGAAAGTGCTGAGAAGCACCAGAAACACCCTTAGAGAAAATTAGGAGGTTGAGCTGTAGCCCCTGAATTTTGTGATGTGATCTTAAATTCCTTCCTTCCTCTGCTTTTAGCCACTGAAGCTTTCATGTGCTTGATCCCAGTCCAAGCATGATTTAATGCTTTTAATTTTCAGAACAAAGCCTGTATGGGATATTCTCCTCTCAGAATTCTAGGCATAATTATAACTGAAATATATGAAGCATCTTCTGATGACAGATGCTCTCAACCTGTAGCCAGCTCTGAACTGCACTTGTAGGCTACAATTCCTGGCCTTGTTCTTTAACTTTGCTGCTGCTTTCCATTCCTGCCATTCGTATCTCCTTGTTTGATGAAGAGTTCTAGAGAAATCAAAAGTTTGGTTGTTCCTAGAAAAAGCATTGCATCAATTTGGATTTTGTATTTGGTTTTTCTCATAGACAAAACTATCTCTGGTTATATATATAACAAAGAAGAGTCAGATTCTGCCTGTGACTTTTTACTATTCTGCCATAACAATTTACAGAACCATGAAATCATAGGACTGGAAGGGACCTTGGAGGTCTGCTAGCCCAACCCCTGCCCAAGGCAGCAAACTTTATTGCACTGTGGACAACTGTCCGTCTAATCTTTTCTTCAAACTTCTTCAATGGGCTGTAGATGCCAGCAGGTGTCTGCACTTGCTAGATGACAGATGATAGCTGTTTGTCAGACTAAGAAGCACATGCTGAATTTTAAAGTCTTTAGATGACATCCATTGTTTTATATGCAGATAATAAATTTTGCTCATAGAATGGGTGTCTTAGTAAACTTTATATTAGGACTTTAGTGGGAAAAGTAAAGGCAAATTAGAGAAGACCCATTGGTTGGTATAGCATCTCTAGTAAGAAGTAAGAGGAAAAAATGGTATGCAATGGTGTTGTATGAATTGTTTCAGAGTATTTTAAAAATCACATTGGTTGCTCCTTTTCTTTCATTTTAATGTTAGGATTCTGCCTGTGTGTTCACCTTTCTTCCTCCCTCCTTCTAATCTTTTCCAGGAATCAGAACTGCTGCGTCTTGCACAAGCCCGGGAACAGGAGCTGCGCTTCGCCAAAGAGCAAGCCAACTTGGACGTGACCCGGGCAGAAGCTCTGGCTGCTGTTGAAGTCAAGAAATTTGAAGCTGTGATCAAATCCCTCGGACCCAGCACGATCCGCGATATTGCAGTGGCTGGGCCAGAGATGCAGGTGAGAAGCAGAGAAAGGAAGGAGGGACTAGGAGAACATTGTTCTTCCAAATAATGGGTGTGCTTGAACTCATAGTTTATTCGTTTTGAGTTAGAATGCAACAGTACAAGGGGTTGTGGACCGTGGCTTCTTGTCTACACCCCTCCACTGGCCGTGAGGGTCAGATCAACCTTCCCCAATATGGTTTTCCTCTAGTTCTGGTTGGGAATTCTGGAAGGGTCAATTCTACTATATCTAGAGAACACCAAGCTGGGCCAAACTGCATGAAGACATAAGGCAGGGGTGAACATTCCTACTGATCTAAGAGAAAGCATAGGGCACAATAAACTACAGGGAGTTCTTGACTTACAACCCACAATTGAGCCCAAAATTTCCATTGGTAAGCAAGCTAAGCTGTTAAGTGAGTTGTACCCCACTTTACGACCTTTTTGCCACAGTTGTTAAGTGAATCACTGCAGTCGTTAAGTCAGTAACATGGTTGTTAAGTGAATCTGGCTTCCCCATTGACTTTGCTTGTCGGACGTCCGCTGGGGAAGTTATGAATGGTGATCACGTGACCCCCCCCCCCCAAACAGTGCAACTGTCATAAATACATGCCAGTTTCCAAGCACCCAAATTTTGATCACATGACCATGGGCATGCTGCAAACTGCTCATGTCACTTTTTCCAGTGCCGATATAACTTCAGAACGGTCACAAAATGAATGGTTGTAAGTCAAGGACTACCTATAGAAGAGCAGGATCTCTCCTCAGACCCATCTCAGATGCCCCAACGTGATAGCAGGTTAGAAATATTCATCTGANCTTTATTTTTGGGGAGGTCTTATTATTTTTGAGGTGCAGGAGGCAGCGAGCATGGTCACCTCATGGCTGCTGCTGTGTTGCAATATTTTCAGGGAGGGCTTTTTTGGGGGGAGGGCTTATTTTCGGGGAAACAGGGTATTACTTAATGAGTGCTTACAAGAACATGGCAGGGGACCATGGGCTATATAATACTCTGCTTCCCCAGAATGTGTGAATCTTTTTATTGTGTAGTGGGCTTCAGTAGGCAAGAACCAGACCAACATAGCTGCAACAGCTTTTATTGACTCGAAAAATGGAACTGAGGAACTGCAGGCAAATGCCTGTTATTTATACTCTAGGCCCACAGGGCCTTAACCAATCATAAACTAGAAAAAACCCACCTCCATATAATTTTTCTGAACTTCCTTCCAACAGTTGGAGTCATGTAAAGGTTTGTTTCACTTTTGCACAATTCAACAGTCAGGGTCATCTAAAGGTTAATCCCCTTTAGCATAACTATATACATTTAATACATAACACTTGATGGGGCAAAACATATAAAATAAATATCTTTTTCTGTTGCATATCATCAGAGGTGGGTTCCTACCGGTTTGGCCTGGTTTGGCCGAACCGGTAGTGGAATGCCGGCCTGGGTTGCAGATCCGGCAGTGACCCAGGCTGGCCACGCCCCCAAACTGGTTCCCCAGTTGCCCCGTCACCATCTTTGTTTTTGAGTACTGTGCATGTGCAGAACAATTTCCATTGAACTGCACATCTCCACGCAGTGCGCGCACAAGCAAACCAGGAGTAACGCCGGCTGAAACCCACCCCTGCTTTGTTATTATTATTTTTTGGAATGATTGTTCCTGGAAGCAATGATAGAACCTGGATGGGGTGTGTGTGTGTAATCTTGGTTGTTGTGGTGGAAAAGTCAACTGGAATGTGAGGAGAGAAGCATGCACTGTGAGGTCATTGGGTATGTACTGTATGTGTGTTTCGATGTGAGAGAGACAAGACTGAGCCATTTTGCCGAGCCAAGTGCAATCTTTGTTTCTCTGCATCTTATGCAATTTTGCAAATCTCTCCAAGGAAAAAGGGATTGATGAACTAATGGAAGGTGAGCTCAGGCCCTCCTGCCCAACTATCTCCACTTATCTAAAATTTAATATTATCCATCTTAATTCTACAGTTACACCTTTGCAGCAAAAGTAAATCTAGCTTGGTGTACTTAGTTCAAGCACAATAGATCTCGGCTTAAGTTCCTGTATCTCTGGTTAAAACAGTGGACATATGTGGTCAGATCTGCTACCATCTAGTGGTCACCCATGTTATTACAGACAAGCTATGGTAGTTACCGTATTTTTTGGCGTATAAGACACACCTTTTTTCCTCAAAAAAGAGGCTGAAAATCTGGGTGCATCTTATACATCGAATACAGCATTTTTTTGCCTCCCGAACCCCCACCCCTTCACCAAAATGGCTGTGCATACCCTTATGGAGGCTTTCAGAGAGCTCCTGAGGGCTGGGGAGGGCAGAAATGAGCAAAAAATGAGCCGTTTTTGCCCCCCNCTATGCACAATAAATAAAATATTTTAAAATACATTAAAAAAATAAAATAAAAAAAAAAACACGGGTCACTTACCAGCAGCCAGAATCAGCAGCACTCCAATGCGATGGATCCGACTCCGATGCGATGGATGGATGCAACAGGGAGCAGGCAGGCAGAGAGGCAGCAGGAACAGGTAAGACACACTGGACTGGAGGGACAAGGCCAGGGTCAGTAAGCAGGTCGCCTGAAGGTCGCCTGAAGGCCTTCCCCCGCGAAAGCTGGGCCGCCACCGCTGCTACCGCCCTCCACCCACCTTCGGCCGTGTGGTGTACGCCAGCCCGCGGCTTTCGTGAGGGAAAGCCTTCAGGCCTTCCCTTGCAAAAGCTAGGCCTCCACCGCCGCTACCGCCCCCCACCCACCTTCGGCCGCGTGGCATATGCCAGCCCGCAGCTTTTGCGAGGGAAGGCCTTCAGGCCTTCCCTCGTGAAATCTGGGCTGCCACCGCCGCCCACCCGCCTTCGGTAAGCTAGCCTCCCAAGTCCCGCCACCCCCCTTGTGCTTAGTTGCTTACCTGAGGGAAGCAGCAAACTCCTGGAAGGCAAAGGGAGTTTTGAAATGGAGGACCCGGTCAGCAAGCGCGATGCGAGGCGTCTCGGGAATGAAAGACACTTTTGAAAAGAGAAGTCTCCAAAAGAGAAAGACTCTTTTCAAAAGAGGAATGTTGTCCATTGGCGCCACGCTTTTAAATGCTTCGCCTCCAGCCAATCAGTGAGCGGCAGACTGGGCTAGCCTAGTTTAGTGCGGACGGGCAGGGGAGCGAGTGAGCGAGCTGCAACGGGACGGCAAGGGCAATATCAAGCGACAGGTCTGGTACCGGCGTTCCCGGAAGTTACTTACTTCCGGGTCCACCGACCAACCAGTTTGCAAGGACCGATGTGGACCAGTAGAAACCCACCACTGCTTTCTAGGCTAACTAGCTTCTTGATGGTGGCTGTGAGTGCTAATCTGCCCTCCAGTGCTGAGCATAATGGGCTAAAACAAAACATCCCCTAATTCTATGGACATTCAAGGGGGGCTGTGAAATAAAAAATGTTTTAAAGAAGACCCATCAGCTGATATAGCTTCTCCAGTAGGGGAAAAATGGTGTGCAATGGTGTTGCATGAATTGTTGCCAGAGTATTTAAGAAATCACATTGGTAGCTCCTTTTCCTCCACTATGATTCCGTTTGTGTGTGCACCTTTCTCTCTCCCTTCTTTATTCTCTAAACTTTTCCAGGAATCAGAACTGCTGCATCTTGCACAAGCCCGGGAAGAAGAGCTGTGCTTTGCCAAAGAACAAGTTGACTTGGACGTGGCCTGGGCAGATCACTTTGATGCTGCAAAGGTTGTGTGACTGGTCATGTCATTTTTTCAGTGCCAGTGTAATTTCAGATGGTCACTAAATGAATGTTTGTAAGTCAAGGACTACCTATAGAAGAGCAGGAGCAGCCACACATCTCAGATGCCCCACCGTGATAGCAAATTAAAAATATTCATCTGAGGTTTTGAAACCCTGATGCATGACATTTTGCTTTGTATTCCTTACAGGTCAAATTGCTCCAAGGTCTGGGAATCCAGTCCACCCTCATTATTGATGGGTCTTCTCCTATTAACCTCTTCACAGCTGCTGGAGGACTACTGGGGATTCTTCCCAAGCCTTCGGAGACATGAAATGGAGGGGGAAAGACACTACTCCAGCTGAATCCTCTCTATTACCATGTTTTCCTGAAAATATGACAGGGTCTTATTTTCTTTTGACCCTCGAAATAAGCACTTGACTTTATTTTTGGGGAGGTCTTATTATTTTTGAGGTGCAGGAGGCAGCGAGCA